TAAGTCAAATTCAAACTTAGATGTATGTTACGAATGGTGCACTGGTGTTCATTCACATGTAAAATATGGAATCATATTTTGGGGAAATTCCCCAGTAAGTATTCACACTTACATCATCCAAAAACAAAAGTTGACGACAATGACAAACACTCACAAGCATGAGTCCTGCAAAACAACTTTTCAAAAAATTACAAATCCCACCCCTCCCATGCATGTACATACATATTTGAAATTGTAATCTTCATGAAGAAGACAATTATGAGAAACAAGGATTTTGTTACTCTGAATGTATATGTTCATAACTATGATACTAATATAAAGAAATCTGCTTGTTCCTCACAATGTAACTTCAATCTTTCAAAAAAGTACCTTTATAGTAGGCATTACACTACATAACAAACTCCCTATTGAATTTAAAAGCCTAAACCCAGTACACAAATTTATACCCAAGTTGAAAACTTTCCTGTTACAACAAACATTCTACAGTGCAAAAGAATATATACATCATAAACACATCAATATAGATCACTAGTAGCTTTGTAAGTTCTGTTCCATGTTTGACTTCCCAAAAAATGATGAATGGACATTAAGGATGGAGCCTTCAAGCTCATTTAAAAACTATTTCTTCTTTTTTTTATTATTATTATTATTATTATTTTTAATCTTCTTACACTGTCCTTTATACAATTAAAATGCATTTTATTGTATTAGTACCAAATTGATTTCATTTGTATTTAGTTATTTCTTTAATATCTGTATAAAACACAATGATGATGATGATCATTTTCATCATACTTCTTCAATATTATCTCTCATATTCAAGCTAGTATTAGAACAGATCAATGAAAAACATATTTTAGTCATTTGAAATATTCTTTGGATGATGTTCACTTACTTGCATATTAAACTATGATAATTTGACCGATGGCCCAGGGTCAAAAAAATTATATTTCAGACAGAATGCAAGAATGAATCCAGAAAGGATTATAAACTCTTCAAAAGCAAATGTGTCCTTAATGTTTCATCTTTGGTATGAGGAGAACTGATTCCACCTTTTTGTGGTTTATCACCCAAAGAAATTAAGGGATCTCTGGATTTCTCTGGTGGTCTGAAAGGTACAAAATATGCCCGTACATCAAGTGGATGGTTTGATACACAGACTTTTGTAAAGTGTTTTCTTTTTCAAATTGTTTTGCCATGGGCCAAAAATCTTTCTGGTCCAAAATGCTTATTAGGGGACACTCTGGGTAGCCATATGAATGCCAGAGTGATCAAGCCTTACAAAACCTATGGCATTAGATTTGTGTTCTTGCTCCCCTTACCTACTTATTTATCCTGACCTCTGGATGATTCAGTCTTTTCTCCCTACAAAAAGAAATGAACAGCCATCGTAACTGAATATAAAATGAGGAATGCTAGATTGAAGACACCGGAAAAGAGTGCATTTTTAACAATCTTGACAAAACTTTTGAGTGCTTTGGATGAAGATAATAAAATGAAATTATATCATGGTATAAGAAATGTGGCATTGAGTAATTCAATTGTGAAGAAATTTATTCTTGAATTTCAAATATATGGAGATCTGGTGATGACCCCCTATGAGAGTTAGTGATTCACATTTGAATTACCTTCAAACCTGTTATTTGAGTGGTAGTCAAAGCTCACAGAAGAGAAGGTGGAGAATTGATTTAACTCCAGAAAAACTGTTGATGAATCACGTCCTTTGGACCCTCTTCTGAATAGCTCTGTAACGACTCAGGTTGGGATGCCTCAGAGAAGGAAGGGCAGCAGCAGCAGCAATGAATCAGATTATGCATTTCCATTATGTGAAATGTCTATTTCAGAACCTGAACAAGATGTACAATCTAAAGACTTTGGACAAGAATTAGTTGCTACTACTTTTCTTGATTTTTTTCTGGTGAAGATGGGCAAGTTGAAGATATATTAAGCCAACAAGAAATATTGAATAACAATATGGGCGAGACAATTGAGATTATAGTTCTGAAGGAATTAAACGTTGTAATGTTTGTTGTAGTCAGATTTCTGAATGAAAAAGTTGTCAAACATTTTGTTGCTAAACTCACCCAATTTTGTGGAGATGAGTTGGAGGTCTTTCTTCAACTTTATCGAGGAAAAATTTTTACTACCCTAACGTACTGGATAAAACTGTTTAGAATGTAAAAGATATTGTATATATAACTGCCCTGTCCTATTGTGGAATCCAGGGCAAAATTAAAATTTTCTGATGAAATTTTAACATTTTCTTTGATTTTTGAACTTTTTATTGTTCATATGTATGTTTCTAGTATACCTTTCTACATTAAAAATTTAATACAAGTGGGAAAGATGTTACAATAGTTTAAAACCATTTTCCCCTTTTTTTCTTTGTAATTTTTAGTGTTTTATAAACAGGTAGAAAAGTTGTTCCGTTTCCAGGATAACTTTTCCAACATTTTTGTTTTGTTTTGTTTTTATTTTCAGCTTATAAATATTAATTAAAGTTGTTATTTTACTGTGAAACTAATCTTTCTTTCGAGGCTAATGATTTGGGAGAGTTTTCATGCAATTTTGTACATTATAATTTAACCGAACAGCTAAAAAAATGTGGCGAGGTTGCTTTGGTTTACAGTACTTGTTTTGATAATATTGTTTGTCATAAAAACTGTTGATGACAACAATGTTGATGTTGATGAAAACGAACCTATGGGAATTTATTTTTGATGTAGAGCAACAATTATGTAATAAGTAATATGTATTGTGTCACATATACAATTACAATCGTATATGACGAGTCAATATGATGCCTTGGGTGGAGAGAGCAAAGTTACATTACTGTTCAGGAGCAAACAAGTGGCCATCTCAGCATTTTCTCAAAGGACCAGGGAAACTGAACAAAACCTGATCGAGATGGGGTCATTGACCTAGAAATACAATACATGTTACAGTTAGATTAAGATATTATACAGTAGATAAATTATCTGCTAATAATTAACATTTCAATATGT